CCTTCTCCCGCAGCTTCCGCACCAGCACCGCTCGCTGCTGCTGCGCCTCCTCCTCTCCGTGCGGCCGCCGCCGCGGGCAGGCCCGGCCCCGCGCCGCCTCCCTCGCCGCCATGCCCCGCGCCCGGCCCCGCCCGCCGAGCGCCGCAGCGCGGCGATAGGCCGGCCGTTGGGCGGCGGGAAGGGCGCCGTGCTGCGACGGGGCTGCCGCTGCCGCTGCCGGGTGCTCGATGCGGGCGGCTCCATGCTGTGCCACGGCTGTTTGGGGGCTGTGTATGTTGGCAGTATCCGAATAATTTACCAGGACGCTCTGAGCTCTCTGATAAAGCAGATTTTATTCGCAATTGCAATGGCGGGACTCCTGCAGGCAGGAGCACACATAGGAAACAGCGTTACATCTTTCATCCCCTACTGCCCGACCCTTACCTCTTGCTCCCCTGGTACTGCAGTACTGCAGCTTCACACTCTTTCGCGAAGCCTCATAAACACCAAGTAAACACAAATCCTTACCACCCGAGCACAAATGCCTTAATTGGTTCATTGCCTTCTAACAATTGCTTTCTTCACAAATATCTGGTCCTAACTTTCGGATATCTGCTTTACAACATAAACAGAACCTCTTAATTGTTTAATTACCCCTCGCGTTTGTGCCCTTTACACGGGCTTGTTGTCCTTGCACAGAGATAAGCTCGGGAGGAGGATAGAGGGGAGCATCTTGGAGCCTGCCTGTAACATCTTCACATTCCCACAGAGTGGGACAGCTCTGCTTTGTGTAAAGGCCCTGACTCCTGGAAAGTTTGTTAAATGCATTTCACTTCTGCTGGCCTAATGAACAGCCTTACATTATGTTTCCTAGTTCAGAATACTACACCCACATCGTTTAGAACATTTGAAGTCTATTGCAGCTTTGTGAGAAAGAATTTGTCACGTAATTCAGTAACTACGTTTCTAAAATATGTTACTAATATGTACATGGTATTTTTACTTTTCACATCAGCTATTTCTAAGGATATGCTACAGCTTACTTCTTTAGATCAATTTCCCTTTTCAATATTCAATACGGAAACAACACTTTCACTTTCCACATGGGGAAACTGAATATGAGCTGAATATAAGGGAGGTGGATTCGGCTCTACGACGTGTGAAATATAAGAGATGCGGATTTAGCTCTGTGAACACGGGGAAAATCGCTGGAAATCAAGATAAAGCCAGAAATGCTCCGAAGTGGGCCAGGAGTCTGCTGGTGCCGTGCCCAGAGAGTCACATAATAACACCCTGAGCTGGAAGCGACCCACACAACCACTGAGGCCAACCCGGCCCCACACAGCAGCACCCCAGCCCAAACCTGTGGCTGAGAGCGGTGTCCTCCAGCAGCTCAGGCCGTGCCCGCTGCCATGGCAGCCTGTGCCATGCCCACCCTCTGGGGCACGGCCTTTCCCTGATATCCAACCTGAAGGACAGGAGCAGCTCGAAGGCACTGAACGCCTGCTCTGCACAAAGCGGTTGGGGTTCACTTACAGCTGTGCTACATTGCTGTCAAATGAGACAAAGGTAGAAAAGAACGACAGTTTTTTGACCCTGCAGCTGCATGAGTTTGATTGACAAAAGCGATCCCTTTGGTACGCAGTGGTGGAGCCAGCCACGTGGATCATCAAATGCTGTCTCAGCTCTTATGGCTTTCTGAACTGAAATGCCGATCCATAGGAGTGCAGAGCTCTGGCAGCACTCGCATCACAGCACCCATGTTGGTGACATGCAGGAGCCCGAGGGGCTGTGCCTCCAGAAGCAGCAATTTGGCCAGAAGAAGCATCTGGATTAAATTACACAGGGGACAGGAATAATGGGTAACACGTTCTGAGAGCTGAGGCAGTCCTCAGGGCCTTGCTCAGAGGAACTCACAGTAGCTCACTGCTGAGGTTCCAGCAGAGCTGCTCAATGTCTCCAGCTTCACACTCCTCCTGCTCACCATGTCCTGAATGTGGGACGTGGTAGTGGCAGCTCTGGGTGCTCCTGCACTCCTGTGAGAAGGAGGCAGGCAGAGGCTGAGAGGTATCTACGCACACTGGTCAGCCTGTCCCCAGCAAGGAAAGCAGCCGCTGCGTGCAGCCTGTCCGCTGTCCTGGTGTCTGCTGTGGAACTGCGTTCTCTGCCCTTGCTACCAAAGCACTGCTGCCCTATCTAGGCTCCCATGGGATGCAATTCCTGCTGGTCCATCTTTTTTCCTCCTGTGCTGTTTCAGGTGAAATCCTTGCACAGGCCTCCTGTCATTCTTTCTAGTTCCTGATCTCTGTGAAGATGTCGCAGCACAATTTTCTAAAAGAATCATATTTTCTTAGAATGGCTGAAAGTGACCTTAAAGATCATTGCATTCATTCTTGTTGTGACTGGCAGTATCTGTTGGGTGTTTAATAAAACCCTTAAACTGAGAGACACGTTCATCTCAGTTATGTAAACACTGTGTGAACATTTGATTGATTCTGCTTTTAGTCTGATTTACCAAGAGACAAGGCCTATGTAGTCCCATTGTCTCACCTTCTGCTCTTTCCTGTTCATCTCCCAAATAATTCTGTATCTGCGAATCTCAACAAAGTTTGATGGAACAATAGAGATCTTTAAGATACAAAGTTCTTACTGGTGTTGGAAGCTAGTTACACCAAAAGTAATGCCTCCTATCTACCTCCATACCAACTACAACAGATACCACAGATAGCACTGTTTGGTGGAGCAGATTCTCAGCTTGCAAAATGCTGTTTTTCAACATAGTCACCACCATTAGCTCTGCATTTTCACCAGCAATGAACAAGAGCCTGCATGCTGCACTCGTAGAAGTCTGCACCAGCTCTGGGGATCCATGGCCGCCGTCACCACTGCTGAAATGCATCATCCACTGCCTCACTGTGCTCACATCCACTGCTTGGTCTCCAGGAATGCTCAGCAAGTACTGATGAATGTTGCTGGGTGCACATGGAGGAATTTGATTCCATCTCTTTGCTCCATATGCAACTCCCATGTCAGATGCCATTCTGTCAGGCTGTCCCTCTGCTGCCATCTGTCGTGTGACAACGAAACAGAACAGAATGCTGGTGGGAAGGTTCAAACTACAGCCATTCCACCAACACCCTCCTCTGACATCGTGGGCCAATATCACAGAACAGGAGGCGTTACTTTCAGGGCATCCCTCGTAGAATAAGAGCATGAACTCAGCACTCAGCTGTTTGTGTGGGCAGTGCAGAACTGATGCAGCACACTGGCCTGCTGCAGGAAAGTGGGTAACGTGGGTGGAAGGAAGGGACAGCATGGCTGAGGGCATGGGGACAGCACAAAGGAGTTGCTGGGGAATGGGCCTGTTGAAAGGAACTCAAGGAAAAGCTGCTTTGTTTTGATGGGAAACATCAATCGACTCCAGAGGAATGGCAATTAGGTCAAAATCAGGAGGGTGGGGTTTTTGTTCTCCCTCGTTTTTGACATCTGTGCAGTCCCTGAGCTGTTCTACCCTTCGGTTCCTCCGCCAGAATCAGGTAAAGTATTCTAAGTGTGTCACGTGGAAACGGCTGCAGGTTGTTATTTATGAAGTAATTTTGTGTCAGAGTGGAAAACGTCACAGCATGTCCAAATCAAGTTAAATCTAGACTGTTGTATCTATTCCTTTTATTCTTGCTTCAGGAGTAAGAGACTTAGAGGGAAGACTGGGCTCAGCACCAGTGCTGGATGAGAGAAGGGTCCCATTAATCCCTGTTCACTCCAGCACGGTGCCTCATTTCCCAAAGGCTCATTCAGAACAACAACAGCTCATTTTTTGTACTGCATGAAAGCCACTCTTGCTGCGTGCTCCCTTGTGTCCCGCTGACAGCAGCAGATACCCTGCCCGCGTAAGCAGCTCTGGTTCCCAGCTGCCCTGGCTGTGGGCAGGCAGCTCTCCTACATTCGGGTTAACAAAAGCTCCCTCCTGGCTGCACCCCGGCCCGGAGCGCCCCGAGCTGTGCGGGCGGCAGGAGCAGGGCTGCCTGCAGGGTGCACTGCCGGCACAGCCTTCTGCTGCAGCCGGCTCACACGGGCTTGTTCAAAGCATAGCAATAAAGACGCCGAAGTACGGTGACTGCGGGCACGGCGGTGCTGCTGCGTTGTAGAAAATTAATCTGCACCTCTGTTAAGTGCCTGCCCTGTTGGCTAAGTCGCTGGAGGACAAAGCGAAGCCGCTGCCACAGGCTGCAGAAATAAAGAGCTGGCCGGGTTAGGCACCGAGGTTTTAATGCGCGCGTTCCCGCGGGCCGCAGGACGGGTCCCGCTGTTGATCTTGCAGTTTGTGCCATTGAAACGTGAAGTTGATGGAAGGCGAAAGGAGAGGTTGTGCCGCCGCTCAAAAAGGCGTCCTCTGGAGCCCTGAGCCCGCCGAGCTGTTTCACATGAGGCAGGGTATGAGTCATGCTCATGAAAAGGGCAAAGAAGATTTTTTTTTAAAGAAATATATCGCAGTTAAATTAGTTTAGACAGCATGACATCAGAGAGTAATTAAATAGGTTTGTTGGAATTCCGTTTCCAATTCCTGAGTTCAGGTTTGTAAAAGATTTCTGAGCACCTGCAGGTCTCTGTGTGTGAAATATTTTCACTGGAAAGGATTCAAAACGTTAAAAAAACCTTTTAACACAGAGGCAGCATTACGCCATTCTTCCTTCTTGGAAAAAAAACCCCTCCGATTTAAACAGGACTCCTTCAAGTTTTCAGTCAGTTTTACAGAAGAAAACGAGGTGGTAAACTTTCTCTTTTCAAGAACAAGTCCTTTACAGCCGCTAACTGAAGTCAGGGGAGAGCGCGTCTGAGTTCGTGAGCATTTCCACTATGGGACTGGATACGAGCACTGAACAACGAGATTTGAAATGTTTTAATCTCAATCGAAAACCATTTTTGCTGACTTTGGTTTTTAATTTCTTTCATGTTTTCTTCTGCCAAACTGGAGGAACCTTTCCTGATTTTTTCTTTAGCGGCATTCAGAGGAAGACCAGAGGATGAAAATCCTGCATTTTCTCACTTTACTGCTTTGGCATTTGACTTGGCTGTCTCTGGATCTAGTTCCTGGAGCACTGAGTAATTCTGAAGCAGGCCAGAGTAATCCAGGGTCTAAAACAGATCTGTTAAAAGCAGAAGGAAAAGAGAGGGCTCCCTCAGCACGGGCAGGCACGCCACGGGCTGCGAACCATGGATTTAGCACCGGGACCTCAAAGGCAAGGGCTAAAAGCAATGCTGCTCAGGCTGGAGCTCTGCTGGCCAAGAACGATGAATCGCAGAGGGTTCTTTCAAGAACAGCAGCCACGGAGGCAAAGGTAGGACATCTCCCGAGCAGACCTTCTGGAGTAAGGACAGTGACTCCAAAGGTCCCAAATCTTAGCAGCAAGGCGGCTTTGAAAAAAACTGGCTCGAGTGGTACTGATACCAGTTCCTTCAAAACGAAAAAGACTAAAGAGCCTGTCACCCAAAGGGAAGCGAAGGAAACTTTCAGACAGCCCCCTATAACGCCACATGAATACATGCTCTCTCTGTACAGGACTCTCTCAGATGCAGAAAGAAAAGGTGTTAATGGAAGTGTAAAACTGGAGGCTGGACTTGCCAATACAATAACCAGCTTTATAGACAAAGGACAAGGTAAGAGGGGAGCTCGCGCATGTGTGGACAGAGGGATGCCTGAGTGCAAGGCTTACTAGAAAATAACTGCGTGTTGTTAAAGTCAAAAGGCTCTTCTTAGCGTAAATGAAATTGTACAACTTTGCTGTAGATTTTGTCCTTATCTTGGTGAATTTTTCTAGGGGCAGAATTTGATGGTTGCGTGGCAGCCAAGCAAAACATCAGGAGAATATTTTAGATGCATATTTCTGAAAATCCATCAGTCCTTGCGTGTTTAAGTGTTTAAAAACTTTAACGTTTTTATCCTATGCTCTTTAATAAGTAGCTTCTGGAAACTACTGTTCATTTTTTTTGCTAAGTGTGCCTGAAAATATGTTCTACGCTGAGAAAGCGGCTGTTCTGTGGAAAAACACAAGTTTCAGAACTGGAGGTCTCCCCAGTTTGTTCAAGGATGAGTTGGGAAGAACTACAATGTAGACCCAGGAGTCATAGAGTAGCGTTAGTGTACCTGTATGAGCTCAAATCTCGTGCTTTTGGACACCACCAGCCTTCTAACCGCAGAAGCTCATAGCCAAGCATGGGCTAATAAGAGCAAATAACTTCTGGGACTCCCTAATTTGCGGTTCAATGTTATGGTTCCAAATTTTTTGGAAATTTGGCCTACTGTCTGCTTTCACACAACACATAACCAGGCTCCCAAAGAAAGATGTTCACCTTGCCGTTCTGGTGGGAGACTTATCTCCATGTTGCTTCCGGTGACCTTAATGAGAGCTTGGTCATGGACTTACGGAAGCAACGTTGGCCACAGCTAACTACATAACAGTGATTGAAGGCTCAGCCAGGACCAGATTTGTTTGCTGCTTAGTTAAGAATAGTTTGGCTTTTGGGACAGGAAGGCACGCAGCTGACCAGTGCTGCGTTCAGATCCTTGGCTCGCCACTGGAAGGCGTTGTTACTGAAACACTGATAAAAAGTTGGCTTGTCCGTATTCCTCATTAGTGCTGCTCATGGGTTTAAGCAGGCAAAGATAGCGTCAGGTTAAAGGGAGGCACGTTGTTCTGCCCAATTTGGAAAAGTTGTGAATCCTGTGGAGCCGAGTTAATGAGGCAATTATCCTCATGTCCGGCAGCTCCTGGGGGATGTTGGATGTTGGTTTTAAAGAACTAATTGAGTATCGTATTGTCTAAAGGTAATGTTGGAGCCAGCATGAGTCCTGCGCACCACTGAAGCCCCATTTCACTAATTTAAGTGGGATGGAAGTGGTGAATAGGCCCAGTGAGTCCTCAGACCTTATAAATGACTGTTTTCCAATTGGCTAATGGCTACTTTGAAGCTAGAAAATGCCCACTGGTGAAAGAATTGACATTTCTACAGGGCAAGCTCAAGAGCTCATTTCCCTGATGAGTCAATAAATTCTTCTAGATTCCTGCTCAGAACCCATCCCTTAGACAAAAATTGTTCTTTCTGTTTAGTGGGCTAACTAAGGTCAATTCCAGTCTTATGGGGGGGAGCTTCAGGAACATCGTAGAGAAATGAAAAACTAGCATTGCTCTCTGCTGATCTAAAAACTTGTGTGCTTTTTTTAGATGAGCGAGCGCCAACCATAAGAAAACAAAAATACATTTTTGACATCAGTGCATTAGAAAAAGATGGTCTGCTGGGAGCAGAGCTTCGAATATTGAGGAAAAAGCCTTCTGATGCTTGGAAATCTCATTCTTCTGGAAAAACTTCCCAGGTGAAACTGTTTAGTTGCTCTACCAACAGACAAGCAGCAACACTCCTGGACTCTCGTACTGTCAGTATCACAGATACACCAAAATGGGAAGTGTTTGACATCTGGAAGCTTTTTAGGAACTTCAAAAACTTGGTTAACTTGTGTTTTGAACTGGAAACTTTTGACAGGGGGAGAGCGGTTGATCTCAGGACTGTGGGATTTAACAGAACGGGAAGACAGGTCAATGAAAAGGCTCTCTTCTTGGTATTTGGGAGGACCAAAAAAAGGGACTTATTTTTCAATGAAATCAAGGCTAGATCCGGCCAAGATGACAAAACCGTGTACGAGTACTTATTCAATCAGAGGCGGAAGAGAAGAGCTCCTCTAGCAACACGGCAAGGGAAGAGGCCCAGTAAGAACCTGAAGGCAAGGTGTAGCAGGAAAGCCCTCCATGTGAATTTTAAGGATATGGGCTGGGATGACTGGATAATAGCACCTCTAGAATACGAAGCGTATCACTGCGAAGGTCTGTGTGAGTTCCCCCTTCGATCCCACCTAGAGCCCACCAATCACGCAGTTATCCAAACTTTAATGAACTCCATGGACCCCGAATCGACGCCTCCAACTTGCTGCGTTCCAACGAGGCTGAGTCCTATCAGCATTCTTTTCATTGACTCCGCAAACAACGTGGTCTACAAGCAGTACGAGGACATGGTGGTGGAGTCGTGTGGCTGCAGGTAGCAGAACAGTCGCTCATGTGGATGTGTTACGAAGGACAACGTGACGCACTGAACATAACCTCTCCTGAAACAAGGCTAACTTAATTTCTTACCTCTAGGGCACGTTTACAAGGATGTAGCACCAAACCCAGCGATTCTGTATGTCTCTCCCCCATCTCTCCACTGCGGGCATATTTCAGTGGTATTTGGATGCTGTCATGCAGCCCAGTATAAAGCCGTGAGTTGGCAACATGAGACTGGCTCTAACCAAAGTCTGTGACAGGGAAGATTTGACCTCCAAGCCTCTAAGTCACCTGCTTTTACTCTAGAGGCAGTGTGTAAAGATGGTACTGGTGAGCTGTGACCTGTCTGATCCTTTGAACAACATTCTTGAGACTGAATGTGAGTCCATGTGCATTGTCCATTAAGAACTGTGAGGAAGTAGTCCTGACGTCTAGAAGAGAAGGCTGTGCTCTGGCATGCTCCCATCTTGGTGTGAATAGTTGCACTGTGATATGATTTCTTTCTGATTAGCTCTCAAAACTATGCATATATAAAAAGAGTAATTAAATGTAATATGTTGATTTAGTTTTAAGCTGTACATGGAGATGGGTGATGCAGGAGGTATTACTTTCCATGTATGTTTTCCTGCAAGCTACATGTCTTTCTTAAGTATCCACCTTTCCATTATTGTGTAGCAAGATATATTACTCTGTATAAGGTCCAAGTTGTTCTCAAATGCTCCTAGTAAAAGTGTTCAGTTATGGCATAAGATGTAATAAATTATTGACACAGTGCTACATTGTGCCTAGCTGTCCAACTCCGCATAATTATAATGCTGTTAAGAATTTGTTTTAATGTTTTTGTACAATAAATACAAGTGAAAGGGACTTTTCAGAGTGGCAGAATGCTGGAGGTATGCATAACATGTTCACGTATTTCACTTGCCTCTGACTGCTGACTGGAAACACTGGAAGAAAGATCTGAAAGCACGCCGTGTTTTAATCGGGTGTGGAACGCCACTATCGCTTGGTGCACCTGGGGCCAGAATGAATTATGCAGCTGATTGCAAAAGAACTGTTATCTTCTTATTCCACGCTCCAACAGCTGCGTGTTTGCATATCTCCTGTATCTATCCCAGGCGTGGATCATAAATTTATTCTGGGATTTCTTTTTGTATGATTCCACCTACATAACCATGCTGGCATTTGAATGTAGATGGACCAGGCAGGATGTGGGAACCATTGGAAATGACTGACATAGCTTATCAACAGTTCAGTTACAAACGCTAAGGTCTTTGTTTTGCTGCAGTGTAAACCAGCAAGCCACACGAGTTCCTGAGCCTGCACTCTGCTTGCTCAGCATCACTGCCAGGGATGTTGTCAGGAGGTGAATATGGCCCCGAGGTCCTCCTGCAGTGACCCCAGACCGAGCCTGTTCTGACTCACACTGCTGGGAAGTGGTCCTAAGCACCTCCTCGATGGCCACAGAGCAGCGGTGGCCAAATCTCTGTCCTTCTTTGTTCTCTGAGAGCTCTGAAATGCCGGGCCCTTGCAACAGCTCACAATGCCTGGTGGCTGCAGCCCAGCCGCAGGCACGTGGGCTCCCTGGGCGGGCAGACCTGCCATGTGCCACAGCCTACAGTGGGGCGATACCGAGAAACACCGCAGAAAGCTTTCATACGTGTGATGTCTTTGCAATAGCTCAGCACAGTGACTTCTGCCTGCAGAACTGGGCATAACTCGGCCCAACCCATGCAGTAACACAAAGCGAAGTGGGTCAGAATACTTGTCAGGAGCAGGGTGACCGAACAGCCCATTCATAACACACACTTAGCACTTGAAGCTCCCCGTCACACACCTGAGACATTCCGGTGCCTCCTGCGGCTCAGGGCTGTGCCCAGGAATCTTGTCTGCCTCTGGGCTCCAGGTGGGCTCTCCACAAGTCCTGCTCCCCCCAGCTGAGGCCACTGCCAGGACCACAGCAGCTGCCCACAGCTCTGTGCCAACTGCCTGTGGGCTTTCCACAGAGCTTTCAAACCAAGGAGCTTTGAATCCTAAGCTTCACTACAAGCTTCTATCTAGACAGATTTTGCTTTTGTTACAGTAGGAGAGAAAGCATTCTCCTGCCAGTCCAGAATCAAGAGAGTGTGTTCTGAACTCCTTTCTGCCCATTCTGCTCCAGCACTTCTTTTCTTCCTCCTGGCTGCCTCCTAGGTGGCTGGCATGCAGCACTTCATGCTCCTTTCCCCCATGCTGACCCCAGCTGTGCTCTGCAGATGTTGGGTGACTGTGAGGAAGGGCGTTCTCCTTCCCCAGTGTGCTGCTCCCATGCATGTGCCTGTTTGCATGTTCCTAGTGGAGCCTCTGCTCTCATGTGTGCCAGTAACAGCACCAGTGCATCACTCCCCTGAGTGGAAGGTTCAGAGAAGTGGTAATTACATATGGAGTTTAAATCAGCATGTAAATGGAAAAGAATGCCAGGATTCTGTGATTATCTCAAACCAAACAGAGAAAAATTAAAAGAAACGCTGATGTATAAAGGTCTAAAAAAGTGCTGGTTGAAAAAGCTCCAGAATTCTGGTAGGTAGTTGATACAAAGTTTAAACAAACTTAAAGCTAGAGACACTTCAGTGCTGCAGTTAGCTCCTTACCACACCAAAATCACCGGATCCTGGGTTTGGCCTCAATAGGACTGCTGACTTTCACTGTGGTATGAATGCATCCCAGCCCTTCCGTGCTTTAACGCTGCACTGCCTGAGCCATTGAGGTCATTTGGTGCAAAAACCTGTCTCTGTAACTAACTATAAGATATGGAATGGTTATGATCACATAAATCTGCAGTGATGAAAGCCTGCTTGTCTCAAAGCTGTTTCTGTAATTCTTATATCACCCGCAACTTCAACAGGCACAAGAAGAGGCTGCCATGGTGAGCTTTTTGTTGGTAGCCTTAATTCCATATATGCGTTCAATTTCTACATTTCAGATCTTGTTAGCTGGAGTGGAAACGCGTATTGAAGCTCCCAAGGAGTGGGATTGGTGGCCATTGCAAATGTTCCTGATTGTAGAACGCCCAGAAGCAGAGCCCAGATGGACACATTTGGGCCTCATTCCTCTATGAAAGCAATGGTTCGGGGACAGGGCACCGTGTGGGACTTCACACACAGCAAAGAAATTGGGAAGAAACCAGAGCACCTTGGGACTGCAGAAGTTTGGCACCGCTTTCTTTAGCGCCGTCATTACACAACGTGCAAAGATAGACACCCTAAGTTATTGTCACAGCTTTCCTCCCGTGGGTGAGGCGGTGTTAGCAACTGGATGGCTGAAACGTGTGGAAACCTGAGCTGTGGAGCAATGCAGGTTAAAAGTTCAGCTTTCCACCTTTATGATGGCAGGTCTCACTCTCTCACTGAGAATGCCTCATTTGTATTTACTTTTTAGGGTCATTATCTGTCCCACGAGAGTCTTTGTGAAGGTCCAAATTTTCAAATAAACAGTACACTATAAGACAGGTATGTGTGGATAATTTTTGTTGTATTTGGCTAAAATGTGGGTACTAAGCTGAATAGGTAAACATAAAAGTATGCCATTTAAAACAATGCATTCCCATTAGTGTTTGAATATGTGCCTAAACTCCATGTACACTTTTACATGGTTATGTCATTTCCTGTGTAAAATGTGCTTGTTTGTGCAGCAGCCATATGAAAGAAGCAGTAACCCGCTATGTGGGCTATTTGAAGCTTTCTGTAAGAAACATAAAAACCCCTTGACCCTTGTATAATAAAAGGTGTTAAAAGATACTGCTTTTATAACATCTTAGCCAAGACTAATAAGAATGTACAAAGAAAACAATTTTTTTTCCCTCCATAGTCCTGGTCAATCACGTGGGTTTTTTTATGAATTTGCTGTTGCTGTTGGGTAGTAAAACAATATTTAAAAATAAAATCGTGTGAGCTTTCATTGCTTCTCAACAAACTTAATGAAGAAGGAAATCTTAACATTCTTTGAAGAACAATAAACGCAGTGCCGTAAATACGCGTTGCTGAGTGCTCAGAACAGCCCATTTGTTGCCATCCAGGTTTGCTGATATTTTTGCAGAATTCGTTCTGGTTTTCTGCAATGATTACATTAGCTGAAGTAGCACAACCAGATTCTGTTTTCCTTGGTGCCCTCCCTCCCCAAGCTGCACAGAGGAAGGGCTCTGTTCACAGTGAGTGCTCAGCTGGCTCTGCTAGAGGATGGGAGATGAGCTTTGTGATGGGATTCCCTGGGAACCTCAGAGCAGTGCCTTGTGCTGGGCTTTGCCATTCAGGAATCAGGGCTGAATCACAGCATCACAGAATGGCCAGGGTTGGAAGGGACCTCAAGGATCATGAAGCTCCAACCCCCCGCCACATGCAGGGCCACCAACCTCCCCATTTCATGGCAGCCCAGGCTGCCCAGGGCCCCATCCAACCTGGCCTTGAACACCTCCAGGGATGGATGGGGCATCCACAGCCTCTCTGGGCAGCTGTTTCAGCACCTCACCACTCTCTCTGTAAAGAACTTCCCCCTGACATCCAACCTCAATCTTCTCTCCCTCAACTTAAAACCATTTCCCCTTGTCCTGCTGTTATCCTCCCTTTCAAAGAGTTGATTCCCTCCCCTCTGTAGGCTCCCTTTTGGTACTGAAAGGCTGCAATGAGGTCACCCCGCAGCCTTCTTTTCTCCAGGCTGAACAAGCCCATTTCCCTCAGCCTGTGTTCATAGGGGAGCTGCTCCAGTCCCCTGATCATCTTTTGTGCTCCTCTGGACCCTCTCCAACAGCTCCCTGTTTTGTTCCTGGACACAGCACTGCAGATGGGGCCTCACAAGAGCAGAGCAGAGGGGGACGATCACCTCCCTGTCCCTGCTGGCCTCCCCTCTTCTGATGGAGCCCAGGATACCATTTGCTTTCCAAGCTGCAAGCACACACTGCTGGCTCATGTTACGTTTTTCATCCATCAGCACCCCCAGGTCCTTCTCCACAGGGCTGCTCTCAAGGACCGCTCCCTTCAGTCTGCATGGATGCCTGGGATTCCTCCAGCCCTCACCAGGTTCACCTGTTCCCACCTTTCCATCCTGTCGAGGTCCCTCTGAATGGCCTCCCTTCCTTCCACTGTGCCAACTGCACCACTCAGCTTGGTGTCGTCAGCAAACTTGCTGAGGCTGCACTCGATTCCCTCCTCGATGTCATTGATGAAGATGTTAATGGGCACATAAAGATGTTAAAAAGCACAATAAAGATGTTAAAGAGCACAACCTCTGCCCATTGTGCCACCAAGGCAGCGCCGTTTAAATGAGCGCAATACTTCTGCACATTCAGGAACTGTCTGCTTGCTTTTGACAAGATGCCATTTATCAATGATAATAGCTTTTTATTGGGGAAAAAAAAGAAACAGCTGAAATTTGTTTTTTGCTTGTGCACATTGCTTTAAGACATTAATCTTTCTCCAGAAGTGCTGAAAGAGAAACACAGCTTGGGTCCTGCACAGGCAAAGAGAAGGGGCTGTGGGTCTTCTCTGCAAAGATGCAGTAACAACACTCACAAACTTCAGGCAGCAAAGCTCATCTTGTTGGTGATCAGATGCCAGGAGCCCAGAGAAAAGGGAGAGGGGTGGCACGGGGAGAAGCACACGCAGGAGGTGCTCTAAGGAAGCACCCCAGGGAACCTGGAGTGAGAGGAAGGCAGCAGAGAGCCCACATGCCAAGCACTTTTCTTCTGTGGGCTTGGTATGAGCAAT